ACCAAAAACTACACCTAGACATATCATATCAAACTATAGTAAAGCAAAGACAAAGAAAAAAATATTTAAAAGCCAGAGGAGGGAAAAACAATTTGCCTGTAGAGAAGCAAAGATAATTACTACAGTGGACTTCTCAACAGAAATCATGCAAGCAAGAAGAGTGTCAAGGGAAATATTTAAAGTATTAAAAGAAAAAACCCACCAACTTTGAATTCTGTACTCTGCAAAATTACCCTTCAAAAGTGAAGGAAAAATAAAGACTTTCTCAAACAAAAATTGAGAGAGCTTGTTGCCAGTACACTCCCATTATAAGGAATGTGTTAAAAGACATTTTTCATAGAAAAGGAAAATGATACAGGTCAGAAACTCAGATTTACATAAAGAAAGGAAGAGCAATAGAAAAGGAATTGGTGAAGGTAAAACAAACAGTTTCATTTTTCTTACTCTTACTTGATCTAACAGATAACAGTTTGTTCAAAATAATAATAGCAACATTGTATTTATGATAATATAAGCTTAGTGTAAGTGAAATGAATGACAACAATGATACAAGGGACAATAATTATTTTATTACTATGAAGTACCTGCACTACCATGAGGCAGTAGTATACTATTTTTTGCAAGTGGACTTGAATTAGCTGTAAATGTATATTGCAAACACTAGGGCAACCACTAAAAAATGGGGAAAAAAGAAGTATAAGCTAAGAAAAGTGAGAAGATAAAATCATATAAAATAATTAAAAGCACAAAAGGAAGAGTGGAAGACAAAAATAGGAACCAAGAACAATGGCAACAAATAGAAAAAAGTGACAAATTTGGTAGATATTGATCTAGCAATATTAATAATCATTTTAAATGGCAATGGTCTAAATATATCTATTAAAAGACAGACATTGTCAGAGTGGATCAAAAACAAGATGTAACTATATGCTGTCTACAAGATACCCACTTTAAATACAAAGAAAAAACAAACTGGGAGGCATCAGTCTTCCTGACTTCAAGCTGTACTTGAAAGCAATAATAGTTAAATCAGCCTGGTACTGGCACAAGAACAGAAGCATGGATATCTGGAATAGATCTGAGAATCTAATCTTTGATAAAGCTGACAAAAATATACAATGGGGAAAAGAATCTCTCTTCTACACATGGTGCTGGGAAAACTGGTTAGCTACATGCAGAAGAGCGAATCAGGATCCCTACCTCTTACCTCTCACAAAAATTCACTAAAGATGGATAACAGACTTAAACTTAAGGCATGAAATCTTAAGAATCCTAGAAAAAAATGTTGGGAAAACCCTATGAGACATTGATCTAGGTAAAGAATTTTTGAGGAAGACCCCCAAGGCAATCACTGCAGCATCAAAAATAAACAAATGGGATCTGATCAAATTAAAAAGCTTCTGCACTGCCAAGGAAACCATCAGTAGAGCAAATAGACAACCCACAGAGTAGGAAAAAATATTTGCTCTCTACACCTCTGATAAAGGTCTACTAACGAGAATCTATCTAGAACTTAAAAGAATTAACAAGAAAAAAAATCAAACAATCCCATCAAGAAATGGGCAACAAAAATGAACAGAAACTTCTCCAAAGAAGACAGAATAATAACCTGCAAACATATAAAAAAATGCTCAACATCTCTAATCATCAGAGAAATGCAAATCAAAACCACAATGAGATACCACCTAACCCCAGTAAGAATGGCCTATATCAAGAAATCCCAAAACAACAAATGCTGGCAAGGATGCAGAGAGACAGGAACACTCTTACACTGCTGGTGGGACTGCAAATTAGGGCAACCTTTGTGGAAAAGAATTTGGAGATACCTCAAACAGCTAGAAATAGAAATGCCATTCGACCCAGCAATAGCATTGTTGGGCATCTACCCGAAAGATCATAAGACATTCTATTATAAAGTCATCTGCACCCGAATGTTTATGGCAGCACAATTCACTATTGCGCGGTCATGGAAACAACCCAAGTTCCCGTCAATTCATGAGTGGATAATTAAAATGTGATATATGCTCACAATGGAATATTACTCAATTCTAAGAAATGACAGTGAGCTAGCACCGTTTATGCTATCCTGGATTAAGCTTCAGCCCGTTATCCAAAGTGAGGCGACACAAGACATGAAAAATGGGCCCCACATCTACTCGCCATCAAATTGGTACTGACTGATTAAAACTATGGTGGTAATGATCACCAGGGATTCGGGGGAGGGGGGATGTCCAATCTTAGGGATGTGGTGAGCATTTTGGAGGGGAAGGGCATAACTCTAACCCTTCTTAGGGAGAGGCAAAGATATACAATGTAACCAAAATGTCAAAAAACAAACAAACAAACAAAAAAGAAAAAAAATCTTTTCATCGGGTGGTGGGCAGGTGGGAGGGGGAGGAGGAGAAGGGTGTGTACTTACATAATGAGTGCGGTGCGTACCACTGGGGGATTGGACATGCTTGAATCTCTGGCACATCGAGGGGAGGGAGGGGGGCAGGGACAATATTTGTAACCCTAACAATATTTGTACTCCCATAATATGATGAAATAAAAGGAAGAAAAAATAAAGAAAGAACAGTATAAATAAATAAATAGATAGATAGATAGATAGATAGATAGATAGATAGATAGATAGATAGAAAGAAAGAAAGAAACATATAGACCGAAAGGATGGAGAAAGATATACCAGGGTAACACTAAACAAAAGAAAACAGGCGTAGCTTTATTAATTACAGATAGAGCACACCTCAGAGCAAAGAAACTTATCAGGGATAAACAGAGGCATTACATAATTACAAAGGCAGCAATTCTCCAAGACATAATAATCCTTAATGTGTGTCTAACAAAAGGGCATTAAACTATGTGAAGCAAAACTGATAAGGCTGCAAGGAGAAACAGATGAATCCATTATTATAGTTGGAGACTTCAAGATCTTTGCATCAGAAATGGACAGATTTTAGCAGGCAGAAAATCAGTCGGGACACGGTTGAACTCAACAATACCATCAATCAACTGGATATATGGGTTAAGCAGCCCAAAGCTAAAAATCCAAAACCTGAAATGCTCTAAAATATGAAACTTATTGAGTGCCAACATGATGCTCAAAGGAAATGCTCATTGGAGCACTTCAGATTTCAGATTCTCAGATTTGGGATGCTGACCCAAGGTAAGTATAACACAAATATTCTAAAATCCAAAAACAAAATCTAAATCTGGAATAGTTTTGGTCCCAAGAATTTTGGATAAGGGATACTACAGACTAATTCATCCAGCAACAGCAGAATACACATTCTTTTCAAGCTCAAACTGAACATTCACCAAAATCAGATCATACTCTGGGCCATAAAAAACACCTCAACAAATTTAAAAGAATAGAAATCATACAAAGAATGTTTTCAGATCACAATAGAATGAAACTAGAAATCAGCAACAAAAAATAGCTGGAAAATACCAAAATATCTGGGTCAAAGAAAAGGTCTTGAGAAATTGAAAAATGTATTACCTAAATGAAAATGAAAACATAAATTATCAAAATTTGTAGAATGCAGAAAAAGCAATGTTTAGAGAGAAATTTATAGCATTAAATACACATATTAGAAAAGAAGATATAATATCAATAATTTATTAATAAGTTATCACCTAAGAAAACAGAGAAAGAAGGGGTATGGGGGTACTTGCTTTAAGCCTAAAGCAAGCAGAAAAAAAGAAATTAAAAGGCTGAAAATAAATTAAGAGTAAGAAAAGATACAGACTATGCACAAAGTAGTAAAAGGCCAAAAGCAGATATTGATAAAATTTTAAAATAGCGTACAACAGTGATGAAAGCTATCTTTGAAAAGATCAATAAAATAGAAAAACCTCTGGTAAGACTAACTGAGAAAGAGAGAAGGCACAAATCAAGAAGGAAAAAGCACCATAACTACAGACAAAGCAGAAATTTTAAAATAAAAGAAACTACCTTGAAAACTTCATAGTGACAAATGAGAAAATACAGGCAAAGAGACAATTTCCTATAAAAAATATATGCTTACTATTGACTCAAAATGTTAAAAATATGTTCCTCGCCTTTCCACATAACCAGAATCTATCAGGGTCAGATAATTTTACAGGCAAAGTTCTACAAAATAATTGACAATGTGAGCCACCAAGATAATTATGAATAACACATTAAACAAATACCATCAGCTATCAAGACTTATAAAATAATGTAATGCTGACATACAGAAAGATAGATAAACAGATCAGGTGATCAAAAGAGAGTTGTGCATAAATAAAAATGAGATATATGACAGGTATAAAATGAGTAAGAAAACAATAAACTAATTCAGTAAGTGGTAGACAACCAATTATCTTGAAAGACAACCAATTTCTCTGGAAATCCAGAGAGCTAAGTCTCTTCCTAAGTGTATTGTACTTATATTCTTGGGTACATGTTCCACCACCTCCACTTTCTCATTTTCTCCTGATAAAGAACACAGGCAGTCTGCCAAGCATTTTACCTTTATTAGCTCATTTAATCCTGAGAACAACCCTTTGAGATGGGTACTATTATTATTATTCCCATTTTAGGCTGGGACAACTAAAATAAAGAGAGGTTAAGTACTTTGCTCAGCTAGTAATCTGAAACCAAGCAGTGTGACTTTAGCACTCATGTCCCTCCAAAGCCCAAAGTCCCCTTGTAGGCACTGTCCCTCTCTTCCTGATGCCACAGCCTCATTATTCCTAATCCAGCACACTCCTTCAACCCTTTCTCTACAATCCCTTCCATCCTCCCTTCTATCTCCCACTAGGCTCTCGTTGTGAACTCACCAAAAACTGCCGCAAAGGAAAAGCAATCTGGCAGAACAACCATTTTCCCTGTAGGATTAACCCAAGCAGCATCGCCTTTGTCCTCCCTATTCCATATCCCTCTAACTTGGAAAGTCTTAGCCACCATTTTGGCCCCAGATGTCATCCAGAATGGAAGTATAAAGATCATGCAGAAAAGGATTGAAACTTACTTTTCATGAGGCTGCCCTCTTGAAGCTTCATGAAGAACAGATTGACTGTCACAGCCCATGGGCTATAAGAAACTAAGATAAAATATGGGGAACAGGAGGGAAAGAAGTGAGGGTTCTGAGAATGGGGAATGGCAACAGCAGGAGGGAATTAAGATCTATTGACCACTTGCAGTAGGTACTATGAACTGAATTGTGTCTTCCCCCAAAATTCATATGGTATGATGGTGTTTGGAGATGAATGAAGCCTTTAGGAGGTAATCAGGTTTAGACAGGGTCATGACAGTGGGGTCCTCATATTGGGATTACCATCCTTATAAGAAGAGACACGAGAGGACTGGTTCATGGTCTCTCTCTGCCATGTGAAGACACAGTAAGAATGCAGTGATAAGCCTGCAAGCCAGGAAGAGGGCCCTCGCCAGAACCAAACCATGCTGGTACCCTGATATTGGACAGCTAGCCTCCAGACCATGAGAAAATAAATTTCTGTTGTTTAAGCCACCCAGTCTATGGTATTTTATTAGTCCAGCAGACTAAGACAGTAGACATTTTACATATTACCTTATTTAATTTCCCAATAAAACTGCAAAACTGAGTTTGTATAAATGTTTAAAATAGGATTCAACTGTCTAATAACCACAAAGCCACTGCTTTTACCCCAACAATATCTCCTCCAGAGGACAGGGAAAACTTGGCTCTGGTTCTGACTCTGACAGTAACTACATATCTCCCTTGGAAGAGTCCTTAATCTTCTCTAAACCCAAGTTTACTCTTCTGACATTAAATCATTGAAACAGGATGCTCTCTAAAGTGCTTTTCCTGCATACAGATTATTTAAAATGCATGAAAGAGGGAAAAAATGCAGACAAGAGAGTTTTATCTTACTGCTCAAAAATATATCATCACACCAGCATATAGACAAAAACACAGAATAAAGTCAAAATAAACTATTCTGACTCCAGATCTCACCAAATGATTTGAGGGACAAAATCATTACTGGATGTGATGTGGTCACTGGACTCAGCCAGCCATTAACTTCAATAGAACCTGCCCAGGCCTAGGGAAACAGCAAATATTCATAAACTCAGACACCAGGATCCTTGGCCTCACAAAATTCTGACCCTCCTCATCCTTCTATAATTCTGAACTTAAACTGGCTGGAGATCAATCCTAGTTATCATCTTTATATTACAAGCAGGTTCCAGCTGGCTCCATAAGCAAAGATCCATTTAGTGTTATCTGGAACAATTTAATTTTCTAGTCAAAAGTGGATATTAACAACTATAAATGGTAAATATCATTTATTTCAGAAATATGCAAAGGACAAAGAGAAAGAATAATTTTAAGATACACAAACCATAAAAGAGACATTACATGTTATTCAGTATCCCTGCTATACTAAAGGAACTTTGAATATACGTAAATGTAAACCAAAAACTCTTCTCAGAAATCTCCACATTAAAAAAAAAGGATTTGCAAAGCAATGTAAAAAGGTAATCAAGCTCACTAAAAGGGAACACATACTAAAATCTCAAGTCCCAATTTAAAAAAGGAGGAATACAATTACTATTTCCCATTACAAGTAACTGTAAGATAATTAAGGCAGAATTTGAACGTTATAACCTGCTCAAAACTATTATAAAATATTATTTCACAACATTAGCATGATGCCAGGAATTTGCTTCAAAAGAACCTAGTAGAAGGGTAACAAGGCAGGGAGAACACAGAAATGGGAACAAGACAGTAGATAGCTGATAAACAGTTGAAGTTGAGTGAAGGGTACATGGGGATTCATTATCCTATTCTTTCTAGTGCCATATATGTTTGAATTTTCTCCATTAAAAAACCTTAAAAATTATTATACATTCTTGGTCAAATTTAATCCTCATATCCTAAAAATAAAGAGAAACTAGTACCTTCCAATCTTTGAATTTTTGCTTTCACAGAAATAACAGCTTCAAAGGGAGAAACTCTCAGCTCAAAACATGTTCCAGTTAATGTTTCAATGAAGAGCTCCATGGTATCACAGAAAGGAAGTTTGTAGTAAAATGGTCCCACATTATCTTCATTGAAGAATGGAGGCTCTTTTCTGTTATCCATTACTTTGACTTTTCTAATTCCTCTAGAATATATTGTAGGCAACTGTATTCCAGTTCTAGCCAAATCAGCTTTGAACATTGGTAATATATATCGTTGTTCATCTTTTGAGTTTTGTACCTAAAAAACAAGAATCATTTGTTTTTAACAAGCCTATTTGAAAGTCTCATTCTTCCATAAAGATTTTCTGAGTAACTCTGGTCCATTTCAATCTTCCAGATAGACCCAGAATTCAAATTAGTGCTTTTAATTATGTCTAATCCTGAATTATTCACATTCATCCCTGAAATTACTCTCCCATCTATAATGTATGATTAAAAATAGGTATATACTTTTATATTTTTAGTGTCTCTTACTAGAGCTCAGCATAATTATAAATAGTATATACTCAACAGATTTAACAGATTTTTGTTACTATTTAAACCAATAAATTCATCACTATATTTTAGCAAAACTTTAAGAAATTTATGTATATCTTTTTACAAAACATGTAAATTGTCTTCTAAACCATATAAAGCATAACTTTACAGCCATCGTACATCTGAATAATAGTGGATAAAAGGAATAGTGACCATCTTAATAGGTCCCTTAAAAATAGTACTCACTAAATAATCAATGAGCATTTGGGTTTCCAGAGGATATCTACTTTTCTAATATTAAAATGAGGTTAACATTGGTAATAGATATTAGACAATCTCTATTGACAAACATATGATGACTAATGAGTGTAGGAGGCAAACACAACAACTAGAAGTAGTAAAATAAATTAACAAGTGTAGAAGTAGAAGCACAGGAATAATCAAATTGATAAACTGATATAAATTAGTGAAAATTTTGTACAGGGGGCACCTTAAATTTAAACTGGGACAGAAGATACTTATCTTCCTAGAGAGGTAGGTAAACCTTTTTCTAAATAGCTTTACTGAGATATAATTTACATGCCATAAAAATCACTCATTTAAAGTCTGAAATTCATTGGTTTTTAGCATATTTACAGAGTTGTACAACCATCACCACAACCACTTTAGAACATTTTCATCACCCCAAAAAGGAACCTCTTACCCTGTAGCCATCACTTCCAAATTCTTCCATTCTCCCTCTCAGCTTAAGCAACCATTAATCTACTTTCTGTCTCTATAATTTGCCTATTCTGTACATTTCACATATATAGACTCATACAATATATGGTCTTTTTTGACTGCCTTCTATCTTTTGTTTTTTATTTCAGAGTATTATGAGGGTACAAACATTTTGGTTACATTTTATGTCTTTGCCTCACCCAAGTGAGGGTTAGAGGCATGCCCTTCCCCTCTACAATGCTCACTGCATCCTTTAGTTGTGAGTTTACTCCCCCCAACCACCTAATCCCTGGAGAATACTACTACCATGTGAGCATCATAGGGTTAGTAAGTCAGTACCAATTTGATGGTGAGTACAAGTGGAGCTTATTCTTCCGATCTTGTGATACCTCACTTCGGATAATGGGCTCAAGCTCAATCTAGGAAAATATAAGAGGTGCTAGATCACTGTCATTTCTTAGAATTGAGTAATATTCCATTGTATTCATATACCAAATTTTAATAATCCACTCATGAATTGAAAGGCACTTGGGTTGTTTCCACATCTTTGCAATAGTGAATTGTGCTGCCATAAACATAGGGATGCAGATATCTTTATTACAGAATGTCTTTTGCTCTTTAGGGTAGATGCCTAATAGTGCTATTGATGGATCAAATGGTATTTCTATTTTTAGCTCTTTGAGGTAACTCCAAATTCTTTTCCAGAGGTTGTACTAATTTGCAGTCCCACCAGCAGTGTAAAAGTGTTCCTGTCTCTCCACATCCTTGCCAGCATTTGTTGTTCTGGGATTTTTTATTTTATTTTGGCATATTATGGGGGTACAGATTTTAAGGTTCCAATAAATGCCCTTTCCCCCTCCCCCCACAAGTCTGAGTTTCCAGCATGACCATCCCCCAGATGGTACACATCTCACTCATTATGTAAGTATATACCCGCCCCCCTCCCCCCTGCCCAATACCCTATTACTGTAGTACCTATGTGTCCACTTAGGTACTGCTCAGTTAATACCAGTTGCGGTGAGTATATGTGGTGCTTGTTTTTCCATTCTGGATACTTCACTTAGTAGTATAGGTTCCACCTCTAACCAGGAAAATATAAGATGTGCTATATCACCGTTGTTTCTTAGAGCTGAATAGTACTCCATGGTATACATATACCACATTTTATTAATCCATTCTTGGATTGATGGCCACTTGGGCTGTTTCCACAGCCTTGCAATTATGAATTGTGCTGCTATAAACATTCAGGTGCAGGTGTCTTTTTTGTAGAGTGTCATTGGATATTTTGGGTAGATGCCCAGCAATGGATTGCTGGATCAAATGGTAGACTCATTTTCATCGCTTTAAGGTATCTCCATATTGCTTTCCACAGAGGTCGAACTAGTGTGCAGTGCCACCAGCAGTGTAGGAGTGTTCCTCTCTCTCTGCATCCACGCCAGCATTTGTTATTTGGAGATTTTTTGATAAAGGCCATTCTCACTGAAGTTAAGTGATATCTCATTGTGGTTTTGATTTGCATTTCCCTGATGATTAAAGATGTTGAGCATTTTTTCGAATGTTTGTTGGCCATTCTTCTGTCTTCTTTAGAAAAGTTTCTGTTCAAGTCCTTTGCCCACTTTTTAATAGGTTATTTGATTTTTCTTGCTGATTTTCATGAGTTCCTATATATTCTAGTTATCAGCCCTTATCGGATGCGCAGGATGCAAAAATTTTCTCCCATTCTGTAGGTTGTTTGTTTACTTTCATGACTGTTTCTTTGGCTGTGCAGAAGCTTTTTAGTTTGATCATGTCCCATTTATTTATTTTTGTTGCTGCTGTGATTGCCTTTGGAGACTTCTTCATAAACTCTTTGCCTAGGCCAATGTCTAGGAGAGTGTTTCCAACATTTTCCTCTAGAATTCTAATACTTTCATACCTTAGGTTTAAGTCTGTTATCCAGCGTGAGTTGATTTTTGTGAGAGGTGAGGGTCCTGCTTTAGCCTTCTACAAGTGGCTACCCAGTTTTCCCCAGCACCATTTATTGAAGAGGGATCTTTTCCCCAGCGTTTTTTGTCGCTTTGTCAAAGATTAGATGGCTATATGAGGATGGTTTTATATCAGGATTCTCAGATCTGTCCACTGGTAAATATTCCTATTTTTTGCCAATACCAGATTGTTTTGACTTACTTAGCTTTGGGATTTTTTGATAGAGGCCAATTTCACTGGGGTTAGGTGATATCTCATTGTGGTTTTGATTTGCATTTCTCTGATGATAAAGATGTTGAGCACTTTTTGTATCTTTGCTGGCCATTATTCTGTCTTCTTTTGAAAAGTTTCTGTTCATTTCCTTGCCCATTATTGATGGGGTTGATTTTTTCTTGTTGATTTTTTTAAGTTCTAGATAGAGTCTTGTTATCAGCCTGTTATCCGATGTGTAGAAAGCAAATATTTTCTCCCATTCTGTAGACTGTCTATTCACTCTACTGATGGTTTCCTTGCTGTGCAGAAGCTTTTTCATTTATCAGGTCCATTATTTATTTTTGTTGCTGTGGTGATTGCTTTTGGGGTCTTCTCCAAAATTCTTTGCGAGGCTGACGTCCGAAAGGGTCTTCCTAACATCTTCTTCTAGAATTCTTAAGTTTTCATGCCTTAAGTTTAAGCTGTTATCCATCTTGAATTGATTTTTTAAGAGGTAGAGGAGGATCCAGTTTCATTCTTCTGCATGTGGTTATCCAGTTTTCCAGCACTATTTATTGAAAAGAGATTCTTTCCCCAATGTATATTTGTCTGCTTTGTCAAATGTTAGATTACCATATGGGATGGTTTCATCTCTGGATTCTCAGTCCTGTTCCAAAGGCTTATGTCTCTGTTTTGTGCCAGTACATGTGTTTTACTTATTATAGCCTTATAGTACAGCTTGAAGTCTGGTAGACTGATACCTTCCAGTTTGTTCCTTTTTACTTAAGAGTGCTTTGCCTATATGAGGTCTTCTCTGGTTACACAGAAAGTATAAAATTATTTTTCTAGATCTGCAAAGAATGATGATGGTACTTTGATAGAGATTGCATTAATTCTGTAGATCACTGGAGGTAGTATGGACATTTTAATGATATTGATCCTACCAACCCATGAGCAAGGTAGATTTTTCCATCTGTTTACATCTTTTACAATTTCCTTTCTTAGTGTTTCGTAGTTCTCCCTATACATGTCTCTCACATCTTTCATTAAATATATTCCTAGACATTTAATTTTCTTTGAGGCTATTGTAAAGGTATTGTGTTTTGATTTGAGTTTTGACTGCCTTCTATCATTTACCATGTTTTCAAATATATCCATGTTCTAGGATGTAGCAGTATTTCATCCCTTATATGACATTTAATTTTCTTTGAGGCTATTGTAAAAGGTATTGTGTTTTTGATTTGAGTTTTGACTGCCTTCTATCATTTACCATGTTTTCAAAATATATCCATGTTCTAGATGTAGCAGTATTTCATCCCTTATATGGCTATATCTGATGTTGTTTATCTGGTCCTTAGTTGACGAACATTTGAGTTGTTTTCATTTGGGCTATTATGAGTAATGTTATGATGAACATTCAACTACTAGTTTCGTGTTTTTCCTTCTCTTTGATATATATCTCGCAGATTTGCTGGGTTATATGGCACAGCTCTATGTTTAACAATTTGTGGAACTACAAACTATTTTCCAAAGTGTTCTGAACCATTTTACAGTTGTTCACCAACAATTAATGAGGTGCCAATTTCTCTAAATCTTTGCCAATACTTTTTATTGTCTTTTTGATTAAAACCATCCTGGTGGGTATAAATAGTATCTCATTATGGTTGTGATTTGCATTTCTCAAATGACTAATATGATGAGTATCTTTTTATGTGACTATGGGCCATTGTCTATCTTCTTGGAGAAATGTCTATTAAGAACTTTTGTCAATTTTAATTAGATTTGAGTTGTAAGAGTTTAAATACATATTCTAGAATACAAACCCCTTATCAAATAATATGATTAGCAAATATTATCTCCCATTTTGTGGGCTCTCTTTAACTT